TTGGACAAGGTATAGAACAAATGCATGTGTGCCATTTGCGATTTTTGAATGTCGTTGTGTGATAAAGTGATTCCCTATAGCTGAGGCAATAAGGGTTTGAACTTTATATTATTTTTATGTATGATGTTTGAATGCAACACGTTAGGCAAGAGTGCACGAAAGAATAGTACAAAAGAACCGTATAAAATTTCACACACTTCATAGAATTGACCTATGTTGAAAAAAAGGTTAAAGAACGAAATAAAGTTTACGTTAGTTGACAACAGATTTGCAAAGGACCAACCAAGAACAATAACAACCAAACCTATGAATCCTAGAACGTTATTGTGCGTGGTTTTGCGCTAAGTCTTATGTTAGCTTGAAATACTCTATATCTTTTCTTAGTCTTTTTCAAAGTCTTCCTATGTTAGATCCCACATCGCCCAGGGAAGTTGATCATATATGCCTTATATGTACATGCCCACCTCCATATAGCATGAGACCTTTTGGGACCTCACTGGGTTCCATCGGAACTTTGAAGTTAAGCGAGTTCGCGCGAGAGCAATCCCAGGATAGGTGACCCATTAGGAAGTTCTCGTGTGAGTTCCCAAAAACAAAATTGTGAGGGTGTGGTCGGGACCCAAAGCGGACAATATCATGCTACGGCGGAGTCAAGCCTGGGATGTGATGGAGCTTGGATTAGGATGTGACATCCTATGTCTTCCTCTACCCCTTTACGAAAAATAACGAGCGAGGTTGAAGCCACTTTTTTTCGATAGTAAGAAGAGAGTAAGAAAAATGGTCGGCTGTCCATCCCTGCAGTTGCACCTTTATCTTATTATAGTGCTACTTGTTAAGTGGTAATGGAAAGTGAACTGGAGTTCTGATTCTGAATCTCAGACCAGACAACTACTTCAACTAGATGCCTGCAAAACTTGTACAATGAATTACCTCGGAAATCACCAAGCTCGTCCCATGTGCATTCTCATAACACGAGAACAGTAATTGAATAAACATTTTTGTCTAAGTAAGAACATTTAACCAACACATGCATATAAATTAACAATTAAAGTAGACATGTTGTTGAGCGTAAAAATTACAAAGCTTACGTACGCAAGCCAAATAACTATGAGTTAACCTTCTTGTGAATGCAGGCGTACAACCTCGCTACCGAGCACAGTCGTTGTTAACTTTTACACTTGAGCGATTACGGTCGAGGAAGGAACATGTCTTGACCTCGGGTTTTAGAACTTGAAGACAAGGTTAGTAGATCATTGTGAAGTTCAATAACTGGTTCAGCTTTCACTATGCCAAACAAGGAGTAACATGATAACACTTCATTTCACCGAGAAGCTAGATGACTTCTTTAGGCAAAAGAATTGGAAACTCTTCGCCCGCCAAGTCTTGGATAGGTAAACAACCAACCAAAAACAGTGTTGCTCACTTGTCCGAACTGAAGATAGGAGATGTTTAGCCAGTACAAGCTGTGTTTTATGGCACCCATCCGGGTGGAGTAGCCAAGAAAAGGTTCTAAAGGAACGAAGGTACTTGACCAAAGGAAGTCTTTTCAAGTACAGTAGACACTAGACATTCCACATTAGATGAATGCCCTAAAAGAGTGCTTACCGATTAGTAGACTGCACTTGAAAGCATACTTTTTGTCGATTTTGAAAAGGATAGGTGGTCTCAGCTCCAGTGTTGTTAATCTAAATTGAAGATGTCGCTGATTACCACCACAATAGTGTTCACTTATCCGAACTGAAGATGTGTTGGCAGGAGAGTTATGATAGTTAGTGTTTTTCTCAAGGGTATAAGAAAGGTTTCTCGTAGAATGAGGGCCTGAGTTGTTTGTTGAGTTGAATGAGCTCTATACGTTGCAAAACCTCTTCTATTTATAAGGGTGAATTCTATGACGGCCAAGTCCACCGAATGGCATAATGTAATATTTCAATTCTTCAGCATATTCTCTTAGCGTACAAGGAATTATTCTCGACTGAAACTCTATCACTACCAAGTCTCGTCATCTTCGACTAAGACTCTGAACCTAGATTGATTATGCGATTGATTCAACCTTTATCTGGAAACCAATCCTAATCCTCAATATTTCTCTTATCTAACATCTTAGAGTATATGGGCAGAGTGCGTGCAAAATCAAGTCCAAACATTGTCCCCAATTTTCTTGAGGTTTAACCTGCCGGCCAAATGGTTAAGGAAATTAACCCTGCCTCTAGTTGATCATCTGACATAGCACCTTTATTTTTTGGAGTATCAGCTTGTGCAATCGAATGTAATTTATTGATGCTTGGTGAAACAATAATATAAACTTTTTCGTTGAATTACCCAACTAGTGTACACATGAAAGCCTACCAACTAAAGTGGGTGGTCATTCAATTTTATTTTTTTTGGGCAAACAACCACTTGTTGTCCCCTCATTTACTTAAGTATCGGCTTAGACGGTCGTATAGTTAAGAAAAGAAAAGTTATTATTTTTCTAGCAAACGAAAACAAAAGTGGCATAACCATGATGATGAGAAGGTCAACGATATTGTTTCAATCTAATTTCGCTCCAGGCTAAATAAAGGATCCTTTCTAAATATTCTTGACTCGACCAAACATGTTTGATTCTCAGCTGCCAAATGCGTTGAGTTATTATGCCTCTCCCTCCTTTCTGAACATAATTACTTTGCCATTTTTGGCTTTTAACTCGAATAACTTAGCCGAACGAGATTGCTCCACATCAGTATGTCCAATAATCATATTTATTGACATGATTTTTGCATCTGAAGCCATGTTTCAACCTTGTTTGTCATTAGAAAATCTCCTGACAAACCATTGGAAATTTTTTTTTAAGCCAACCAAATTTTCAGTCTTGACCGAAAAAATAGGGGGGCCTAGCTTGTTCTTCTAGGCTAACTAACTTTTCTGATTTAGCCAAGAGAATAGGTGTCCTAGTTTCTTCATAGACCAAATTGACAATTTCTTAGGCCAAAGCTTGATTGTGGACTGAGCGAAAAATTGCCTCTGGTATTCCAATCCAACCATTCTTTAATGGAATAGACTTGTACCCAAGAACAAAAGGAAAGTGTTTGTCATCTAGCCAAGCATTAAAGCAAGCTCTATCCTCTTTTGCCCATTGTTCTTATAGGGTGAAGGGAGTTTTCCCCTTCAATATGTGAGCGAAGATTTTCGCATCTCCTCATGGGCATCAAGAAATTTTTTGCTTCCCATGCTCTCTATTCTTCTCACTTTTGAATGTGTTTTTCCAATTGCGCTTAGATCTCTTCCAACCGGCTAAATTTAGTCGGATTGGAATATTGAAATATCATATGACTTTGTAGTTTTAACACTCGGTCCTACCAGGCGTACCAAAATGTTGACCCTAAAAATTACAAAGTCTACGTGGCATATAGGCCGAGTAACTATAAGCTAACTACGTTTTTCTTGTGAATGTGGGTGTGTCAACTCACAACTAATCTCGGTCAGGTGCGTAGAATAAATGTAGTGGTTGTGGTGTTGAATGTGCTGCTGACTTCTGCACTTGAATGATTATGACAGAGAAACGAACACTTCTCAACCTTGGTTCTAGAACCTAAAAGCAAAGTTACTAAATCACTGCGAAGTTCAATAATGGGTTCGGCTTTCAGTATGCCAAACAAGGAGTAGCATGGTAACATCTTACTTCATCGAGAATCTAATGAGATGACATCTTTAGGTGAAAGAATTGGAAACTCTTTGGCCGCCGAGTCTTAAATAGGTAACTAGCCAACCAGAAGCAGTGACCTTCACTTGTTGGAACTGAATATGCTCTTATATCACTTGGTCTTACAACTCCGGTATTGTTTAGTCCAAACTAAAGATGTCACCAGTTGCCATTTACTTATTCGAACTGAAGATGTGTTAGCGAGAAGGTTAGGATAGTTAGTGTTTTCGCACAGATGTGAGAAAGATTTCACATAGAGCAAGGTTTTTGCGTAGAGCTTTTTAGTTGTTTGTTGAGTTGAAGGGGCTTTCTATGTTCCAAAACCTCTTGTATTAATAGGGATGAATTTTGTGATAGCCAAGTCTACCGAATGACATAATTTTAATAAAATTCTGATTCTTTGGCATATTCTCTAAATATACATGGAATTATTCTCAGCCAAAACTCTATTGATGCCAAGTCTCGTTGTCTTTGACTAGGACTTTAAACCTAAATTGATTATGCGATTGATTCAACCTTTATCCGAAAACAAATCTTAATCCTCAATATTTCTCTCATCCAACAGCTTAAAGTACTATGGGTTGAGTACGTGCAAAATCAGGTCCAAACACATGCACAAAAAAACAATTCTATAACTCATGAAATTCAAAGCTTAGTGAATGGTGAACCATGACACCTTCAAAGTTAAATTGAAACATATGAGCTTTCATACCCTTGAAGCTCATCCTTGTGTTCACAAGGTTATCACCCGAGTTGAGGGCCTTCAAAGTCCACTCCTAGCTTCTTGGATGTTTCCTTTCGCCTTCAATCTTTGCTCCTTGAGTCTTTGCTCCTTTCCTTCTTAAGGATTTGGGGAATAGAACCTCCAAAGCTTCCAAAGTTGAAACCTTCTTAGTTCCACAACAAGGATGTGAGGAGGAGATTTAATGACCTAGAAGAAGTTTTGTTGCTAGTAAAACTTTCCCTAAGTGGCCAACTATAGAGAGGAGAGGTAGAGTTTTTATGCCTCCAAATTCCTTCTCACAAAACCCTAATGAGCTTTAAGTTATAATTTCACTTTTATAAGACCCGTTAAGGTTAAGTTTTATGACAACTTAAACAAAGAGGGACATAAGCCCAAGTTAGTAATGTCACTCAATTGCTAATATATGTTTCTTGATTGTGTAATGTCACTCAATTGATAATTGGGCATTAACAATCTGCTAAGTCATACTCCCAATTGAGTGACATTACACATATTAGCCTTAGCAGATTGTTAATGCCCAATTATCAATCCTATAGCTAGAACCATTTTGAGAATGAACATAAGAGAAAGGTCTCATTGATCTAACACACTTATATCACTTGTCACTTAAGTTGATTACATTCTTTGAATTATATTATTGATTAAACACATAATACATTAAGTAGTGATTAACAACAAACATTATTCTTCTTTGAAACTAAATAAGAGTACATAATAAGTATTCCGAAAACTATTACGTCAAATGAGTGTGGCTTTAAAGCATAATTCTAACAGTAAAAAGACCTGTTGCGGAAAAGGGTGGTTGTATGTGAGTCCAAGTTCTTCTTTATGCTAATTAGATAACGTGCAAAAATGCCTTCTCTCAGGGATGTGGTTGCGACATTCTGAAAAACTGTTTCTCCAGTATCTCCCAACAGCCATTCTTCCTTGACACTGCAGTTAACAGATCCCTAGTTCTGATCAAGTGCCATTGAGAAGGGAGGACATTTCAAGAGTCTCATACTCATGTACATCGTTGGCTTTTTTGGTCCTCAACATCTCAGATGGAAGAATAGTTAAGTTGGGATCGCTTCTAGGTATTAAGAACAGTAGCGCAATCGGAACAATTCTCAACAAACTCCGGATCAAAATGGCCATCCAAATATTTTCGAACTGTGTCCGCGTAATATTCAAGATGTGGAGTAAGAGGCCTCCGGCCCAAGTAGATGACAGCATCCCTATATGATCAATGGACATCAGTATAGCAAAGAAAGTACCTTCTATACCTGCAGGGCAGAGTTTGGAACTAAGTACAAGAAGAGGCATCCACTTCAAACGCCCAATCAACATAGAAATGGCTTCGTCAATGACAACAAAAAGATAATCTGGCAAACCAAATTTCAAATTTATGCGCAACACCAATACCAAGTCTAGCATTCCTGAAGCACCATAGAGCAACTGAGTCCAGAAAAGAACATCCCTGAAAGGGTAACTTTTTAAAAAGTTCTGGTAGAGAAGGACCCCAAAAAGGGAGCCAACAGCACCAATAGAGAATATGGATCCGACAACCTCCTGTAAGAAGCACATAAATAATGAGTTTGGATTTAGGCGCATCAGACCAAACAATTTCCGGCCACTAGAAAGGCACTGGAATTATAGAAGCAGTTCCGGTTACCTTGGAGAAAGACGGACCCCCCTTTGCATCAGTGTACCAATAAAATTCCTTCACGAACATTCAAGGCCAGAGCAAGTGACAAGTACATGTATAAGCAAGGCCTCCATACACTACTGCATTTTAATGTTGTCCACATAGCCTTGCCAGCATCCAGTAACTTTACACTGACCTAAATTAAGATATTGGTATGAGCATCAGAGAAAGCAGGAACTAAAATGCACAAATAAAAAAGTAAAGTAATCTCACCTGTTTATAAGCAAAGTTGCACGCACGAGATTCTCTATGCATTATCCCAACCAAAATGACAAGCCCCGGAGGGATGCTGAGCAACCCAAACACACCCTGTCATAGAAGTGCCAAACTTCCACCATTCAGAAAAGCAATTTCAGCTGATAAATTATCCAAAGCGGATAAGGAAATTATACCAACATGATACGGTTCAATCGACAGACAGCAAAATTTGATTTCAAATCAATGTTCTGTCTAATCTAACATTATAATATGAATCTTTTCATATGAAACGAATTTCATAAATGAAAATCTACATGAATGAATTAGAGTTTTTCAACCATATGACCACTGAAACTCATCCATTGATAGTTCACCAGATGAGAATTATATCATTTGAATATTGGTAAATTCAAAATCCTCGGCAAGCCTACTATGGTATAAATTGGAGGTATGCCTAGACATGCCCAAAAATAAAAATATACCAAAAGATTGACAATGCCAGATGTTTTTATGTTGCAACTATAAGCGAAAGCATACCTTAGGGCCCACAAGGTGAACAAGAAACCCACTAAGTGAAAAACCCACCAGTGCCCCGACTGAAGAGCTCAGTCCACACAAGCTCTGCATGTCACCGGCAAGGGATGGATGTCTTATACTGTTCTGTGTAACACAGGCATCAATTGTTACATCGGCAATTGCAACTCCAGCACTCCCCGCCATCAGAGCCAGCAAGGACATTGTCAGATTTAAATTCTTGTCTAGTGATAACACAAGCATGGAGATCACCCCAAGTAAACCTGGAAAGACCAACAGAGAGAGGAAAAATAAGGGAACAGCATTCAGGTAAAGTAGTATTTTCTAGTTTATAATCAGGTCATACTACTGAAGGATATATAGTAAATATCATCTTATACAGATTAAAATAGAAAAACAACAGCCAAGTTTCAAGGTGACTCTTGCAGACAAATTAATGCAGCATCAGATTACAAATACATATACAAAATGGAAGTCATGACTGTCACGGTTCATGAGATTTTAAAACTCAGCCAGAGATATTGATCGTCGGATTTTACAAACCAGCAGTTTCTCAATTTTACGAAAATTGATGTAGAATGGTCAATTCATGTATGTATATATATGGAACAAATATATATATGTTTCGGTTCAAGTCCTCTTCCCCTGTGTCAGACTGTGGACTACTTTCCCTTCTACAAGTCATGGCATGTCTTCAACTTTGTTGGCATGTCCTTTCGTGCACACTCTACAGATGCTAAAGTTATCACATGAAAAGAAAATAAGGTATTGCAATGTGGACTAAGGAGAGCCAGTCACTGCAGCTTCTAGGTATCCCAAGAAACAGTTTGGAATCAGCTTAACTTAATTGCTTCGACGAAAGCATTTTCAAGGTAGATAAGAGATATCTAAGAATCCTCCCTACTGAAACTCATATTTTTAATGCAAGTAAGAGAAGTTTTGAGGGGGAAACAAAACAATTGAATTGACTACCAGTCCTGAAAGCATTCCCTAAGGTCTAGCAGATATTCTATATAAAACCTTCTAGGGATAATTTTCAGTTTTGGACTATCCACAGCAGTTAAATAGGGATCCAGTCTCCAGATACAGGCTTTTCTTTTTTGGTCTCTTTCGAAAGTCAGATGATGTAGCTGAAAAAGAAAATGATCTGTGACAACATATAACAGAACGTCCTTATTAAATTGCTCAATTATCCCGAAATAAATTTGAATATGATGCCAATCCAGACTATGCAAGGCCAAATTACCATGCCAATATTTAAAAAAACTAGAGTGTGAGAGTCCAAAGCAAGTAAATCAACGGTATAATTCCATAAAACATGCTATCACAGTAATCACACTTAAGTAACACAAACTTAAGCTTTAACCAGTAAACATGTTATGCGATATACATCTGTCTTGATTTTGAAATGAACATCCCACCTGGAGTTCTGTATACAATAAAATATTATCTCCTTCCAGTGAGATTTTTAAAAGTAACTAATAATTTACTTTCAGAGAGGAAGACAATGATCATTTTACCATTTTCTGTTATATTCAGCATTTCGGTATGAGGACAGACAACCATTAACAGTGGAATATTAACTCATCTATGAATGCATATGTTGATGATTAAAATTTAAAGTCCAACTTTTTAAAACATCCTTCATGTTCAAGTTTAACTTTGAATTTTATATTTAAGGTTAAACAAATGGCACATACTGAAACTAAGTAGGTACCAGATTCATAGTACTATACATACATACATACATATTTTCTGTTTAAACCTGCATGCCTGGCTACTGATCAGGTGATTCAAATTAAACCCAGACGGCAAATATCGTAGTAGTTATATAACCATAAGTCTGCACAAGGAAATGACCATTTGTTTGAAAATCAAACCAGTTATTAGAAGGGGAGTCACTTAAAGAGAAAACTAATGGAGCCTACAACTGAAGGCCTAAGATTGGATTTTCTCATTTGAACAGAAAAGGAGCTTCAAATCTCGATTCCCTTTGTATGTAGGTCGAAGGTATGAGGTAGAGGTCTTACTTAACTGCAGCACAAAAGATTACCATCTGTGCACCGTGCACACTCACAGGTGCAAAGGTGCAAAGGTGCAAACACACACTAGCATTTCCCAATTTTATCACCCCATATGCTAACAACTGCCATTTCTAAAATTAATGTTTTTCCCTTATCTGGAATTGGTTGTTTACGTATCAAGTAATTTACAACATATATTGATAAAACTAAAAAAAAATTGACAAGAATAAGTAGCCATTACGTATCAAATAAGCAACAACATATATTGATCTTTAAATAACATAAAAATAGGCCCTTTAATTCAATCAAAAACTAAAAGCAGCATCTGAAATATATAAACTCAAAAACACACATTTATGTAGAAAAGTGAGTTGTATCATAATTTACCAGCAAAAACAAAGTAGGGTTTTCGGCGGTAGCCAAGAACAGGAAGAGTGTCAGTGAGAAGACCCCAGAAAGGCTTCACAATCCAAGGAATTTGGATGATCCCAAAGTAGACTTGTGCCTCAGAAGGCTGCACTTTCTGATCATCTTTCAAGTAATACTGTATGCTAATTCTACTCAGTCCCATGCTTAGACCCTGACTGATGCCGTACACAGTCAGCACACCCACCACAAAGCTCCAATGCAACTCGCTACTCAGCATTCTGAACCAATTTATGGGTGTCCATAGCAACTCTCGGACACCCTTTACTGGAGTTTTCTGCTTTTGGTTCTCTAACTCAGGGTGAAGACTTTCTTTTTCATGTTCTTCTGCTTCCATTTCCATGGCTGATAATTTTGGATTTTCCTTCAAAATTTGAGAACAATAAAACACACCCAGTTGATATATCTTGGTTTTCTGAGGTGGGTTTGTCGATTTGGTTCTCAGAAGCTTCGTCTGCTTGACTTTGACTTTAACTTAACTCAACAGTTCAACTCTGTCAGGGTGGGAAGAAATTGAGTAATACTATTCTTACCACATTAATATACCACGTTAGTATACCATATTATGTGGCATCTGATGTGGCTGTCCACGTCATCCAAACTAATCATAATTTAATTTAAATGAAAATCCATTTAATAAACTAATAATAAATAAAAAATCTGAAATTAAATAGTAATTGTGACATACGAGGAGTCCCCTCTCCTTCCTTCCTTCTTCATTGCTTCTTCTCCCGTTTCTTCTTCCACGCCATTTTTTTTGTTTCAGCCCAGATTGTTCTCCTATATTTGCTCTCCCCATGCATACAAACAAGCACATACAATGCTATATTAATTACCTTCATATATGGGGCTGCTAATAATCATCACGTGGTTAGTGTCCTCCAATTTTTCGGGTTCTTCTTGAACCCCCAGTGTCATCATTCGCTTTAAAATGATTGGTTCCTTTTGCTTCTCCTTCAGATACGAGAAAGCTGTATCGCAATATCAGAACACGAGAGAGCAAATATAAGAGAATAATCTGGGCTGAAACAAAAAAATGGCGTGGAAGAAGAAACGGGAGAAGAAGCAATGGGAAGGAAGGAGAGAAGACTCCTCGTATACCATAATTACTATTTAATTTCAGATTTTTTTATTTTTTATTAGTTTATTAAATGGGTTTTCATTTAAATTAAATTATGATTAATTTAAATGACGTGGACAGCCACATCAGATGCCACATAATATGGTATACTAATGTGGTATATTAATGTGGTAAGAATAGCATTGTTGGAAGAAATTTTTAATTACCACGGAACACCATATGTTTTAATAAAAGTAGTAGAAAATTTTATTTTTTAAGTTATTAACTTTTTAGCATATATCCTACTATTTGTATAATGACCCATGATATATTATTTCGTGTACTGATTATACTGAAAAATCTCTCGGGAGAGGGGTAGACATTTTCCCACGTAAAAAAATGGAAACCATATTGCTGGGCTCTTCGGCTTTTTCTCTTTTTCGGTTGAAGGCTCATTAGCTTTGATCCAAGCCCAATGGGAAATGGACATTCGTAGTTTATTTTTGTTTTCACTTTAGTTAAAATGTAGTGTTATTCACACACTTATTTTTTACTACTCACATACCCATCTTAATTTTTTTCCGTTAAATCAAATGAATTAAATAAGACCAATAGCCAAACATTAACAAGGATGTATGAGAAGTAAAAATCAGTATGAATAGCATTATCATGTTGGAAGATATTAGTATTTATGTTTATTTTAGTATTTGAGTTTTGTTAGTTTAGGAATTGGCCTAGTCCATCCGAGTTATGATTTTTTAGGTTTAGTTCTCTATAAAAAAAAAAGCTTGTAATTGAGTTTGAGAATAAGTTAGTCACAATGTGGTCTCTTAAGATTTTGTAGCGTTTCGGCATTCTTGTTTGTTTAATAATATTCTTATTATTTTGTAATCTCGTTCGTCGCACACTTTAATATTCAACTTATCCTAGTTAAATTCGTCAACTAAGTTGAATTTTAATCCTTTTTTTTACACGCCTTCTCATTCAGCAAGTAGCCACTGCATGTGCATCTTCGATTCAAGCTCTCCTTGCTACACTTTAGTGTAGCATAAATTAGTAACATTGTTTGTAACAAAAAGGAATGTGCTCATTTAGTGTCTAGACTTAATAGTTACTAAACTTTAGACAAATCAAAACTAAAGTAATCGATAACCAAATTTTTTTATAAACTGAATTTATCGAAAGATTTCAAAAAACCAAAGTTACTGTAAATTGTCGAACCAAAAGTACCGGTACAGGATATTACCGAATTGCAAAATACCAATAGTTTTAGTTTTGCTAAGGGTCATTATCGATTTAAATTAACTAAAAGGTAGCCTTATTTGAAATAGAACCCTATACCCTGTTTTTTAAACCCAAATTGTAATCCCACTTCCCACCCTGAAAGTGCAAGATTTTATGATTTTCTAATTTCCTAGCCAAGTTTAATGTGTCTCTAATAAACTAGTGCTAGATTTTAAGCGTGTCTTAAATGTCTAAGTTTGTGATTTGAGACTTGCACGTCAAGTAAAACCAAAGGCAATCTGATTTCATGGATCACTTAAGGTAAACTTCATACGCATCATTTTAAGAAAATATAAATTGAGTATTTACATTTAATTAATCATATAAAATCAATTTATTTTAGGGTTAAAGCATAATATCAGTTTACTTAATTGTAGGCCATTGATTTTTTTTTGTGACGTCCTTCATATACTATTGGTTTTCCAGCAGGTTTGCTATCTTTGAGAACCATAATTTCGTGCGAGAAAAAGTTTAAGACAAGGAATTTGTATACTAGGTTAGAAGAGTGAAATATGAGTGAAACACTTTCTTCTAGCATTCATATTATCATTCATGATTTGTTCTAACCCACGGGCGAACCTTCTGCTCTGAGGTGATCACGTTTAAACCAAGAGGAGACAAAGAAAAGCAAGTATGAAGACAAGAGGACAAGGCAATCTTTGAGCTAGCTTGTAAGTTGTCTTGTATGAGTCTTGTATTTGTTGTTTGATCTTAGTGGATTATTTTCGGGCAGTGTACGCGTGGATTTTCCCCATCGTGTGTGGGGTTTTCCACATTAAAAAAAGGTCCTCACATGTTCATTGTATTTCATTTTCAATTTATTTACTGTTGCGTCGCATAATTAAAACTTTGTTTCCATCCCGCTAGTCTAGGTGTTTATATTTGGGGTTGTTTATCTGTTGTATTTGAGTTCTTCGATGTTAACAGAACTAAGGAATGGTTCTATGAAGAACAACAAACTGAAGAATGAATGCGAAAAGAGAGAGAGAAAGAATGAAAAATATTCTGTGTATTGATCTTTAGAGAGAGAATGAATTATTACAAACTGTGTTGTATTTCAGACTTTATACACGGGATCTCATCTTAGCTAGGAAGCTATCTCACTAACTAACTAACTGACTTTCTATTTGAGCTAGCAGCTATCTAACCATTGAAAAACTGACTTGATCTATCATGCCATTCTAGCCGTTGGATCTCTTATCATTCCCCCTCAATCGTGGCTTGGGCACCAAGCCTAAGATTGTAACAATGTTTGAGAAATGTTGGACTATGCAGGCCTTTTGTAAGTACATCGGCTGTATGATCTTCTGTTGGGATGTAAACAACCTCCAAATCCCCTTGTTGAACTCTCTCCCTTATAAAGTGAAAATCCGTGTCAAGATGTTTAATTCGAGAATGAAACACTGGATTTGCACTGAGTGCAATGGTGGACAAATTATCACAATAAATCGTAGGTGGCAATGGCAAAAATACTTCCAAATCCTTCAATATTCCCCTCACCCAAGCAACATCAGCGGCAGTGTGAGCAAGGGCCTTATATTCTGCTTCCGTGGAGCTTCTTGACACTGAACTTTGCTTCTTGGATTGCCAAGACACAGGATTATTGCCCAAATATACCACATAACCTGTGATTGAACGGCGAGTGTTAAGATCTGCTGCCCAATCTGCATCTGAAAATGCAGTTAATGTTGTCACTGTGTCAGCAGAATATAGTATTCCATAAGTCAAAGTCCCTTGTAGGTATCTTAATATGCGTTTCACTGCTCCATAGTGCATTTCTGTAGGGGAATTCATGAATTGACATACTGTGTTAACAACATATGCAATATCTGGCCTAGTGAAGGTCAGGTATTGTAATGAAGCAACAAGACTTCTATAAAGAGAGGGATCGGTCATGAGAAGACCATCTGAAATAAGCATTTGATCATGTGGTTTATAGGGAGTATTAGCAGGCTTACATGAGTCCATACCTGCCTTATGAATCAAATCCTTTATATATTTGGCTTGATTCACAAAAATGTCCCCATTTGACTTGTAAGCAATCTGCAATCCCAGAAAATATGTCAATTGTCCCATGTCCTTGAGCTCAAATACTTCAGACAATTCATCAATCACTTTCTGTACGTTAAGAGAATTTGAGCCTGTAAGGATTATATCATCGACATATAGGAGAAGAATGACAATATCATTGCCATCTTTCTTAGTGAATAGGCTTGTATCAGAAGCAGAAGGCTGAAAATTCATTGCTGCCAGATAGGAAGTGAACTTCGAATTCCATGCTCTTGGGGCCTGCTTTAATCCGTACAGGGACTTGATTAGTTTACACACATATGTAGGATGAGATGCATCAACAAATCCCTGTGGTTGCTTCATATAAATGTCTTCTTGTAAGTCACCATGCAGAAAAGCATTTTTGATGTCAAGTTGCCTAAGCTTCCAATTATTGGTTGCAGCTAAGGCTAATACTATCCTCACAGTAGTGTGTCTCACTACGGGACTAAAAGTCTCTAAGTAATCCACACCTTGCTCTTGAGAATATCCTTGAGCCACCAGTCTGGCCTTGTATCTTGAAACACTTCCATTTAAATTTTTCTTCACTTTATACACCCACTTGCTACCAACAATGGATCTGTCGTTGGGAGGAGGTACCAAAATCCATGTGCCTTGACTCCTAAGAGAGTCATACTCATCTTGCATCGCTTGTTGCCATTGAGGCATTAAAGCAGCTTTCCGAAATGTAGTTGGTTCTGATACATCAGCTATTGTAGACAAAAAACTATAGCCTCCCACGAACTGATCTTCTGTAGTTATTTGCAGAGTTTGTAACTCAGGAAATGATGCTATAAAAAGCATTATAATTCCGTCTTTGAATGGTGCCACTCTTCAATCTTGTAACCATTTGATGCATCGAACAAGAATTATTCACACCAGTAGAATTGTCAGTATGAACATTTGTTTCAATTTGTGATGATATTGGTAAAGTTACCTGAAGTTGAGAAGCTGATTGGACAGGCAACATTGATGATGTACCAGAGTGATGATGAGGAGAATTTGGAACTGTTGAACTGGGTACTGTGTTTTGCTGTGAATTGTCATGTGATTCCCTTGACTGATCTGTACTATCACTATATCTGTGTGATGTAGATAAACTTGGAATTGCAGACTGACTTTCAGTACTTTGAGAATCTGATAACACTGTGTTTTCTTCTTGTATTCTATATTCACCATCATGTACATCAAGATGTCTAGAACTGGGAATAGGAACCTGAATAACTACATGACCTTGAGTGGACTGTTGAGAGCGACTATGATCAATATCCTTGTTGACAGACTGTCGTTTGAAAGGATATGTATCTTCATCATGTATAACATGCCTTGAGATTATAAATTTCCCAGTATGTATATCATAGCAAATCACTCCTTTATATCCTACTGCAAAACCAAGAAAAACAAACTGACTTGATTTATTCTGCAGCTTATTTGCATTGTAAGGTCTTAGATATGGATATACTGCAGTTCCAAATATTTTAAGATTGTGAATTGTAGGATTTTCACCAAAAAGCAGTTGATAAGGTGATCTATTGTCAAGACTTTTACATGACATTCTGTTGATTAAGAATGCAGCATATGAACAAGCATGATACCAAAAACTAGCCGGAATGGAAGCATCTGTCATTAAGCTTAAGGCTGTTTCAACCAAGTGCCTATGTTTCCTCTCAGCAATGCCATTCTGTTGAGGTGTATAAGGACATGACACTTGATGTATAATACCTTTTTGATCTAAGAAACTCTTCATCATTCTATTCACATATTCTCCACCACCATCTGTTTGTAAGCATTTGATTGAACTATGAAACTGAGTATGAACAAAGGCATGAAATTTGACAAAGATTTGGAACACATCTGATTTATTCATCATAGGAAAAATCCATACAAACCTTGAGTAATCATCTATAAAACTCACATAATATCTATACCCTTCTATGGACTTATGAGGAGATGGACCCCAAACATCAGAGTGTATCTTTTCAAACATAGAAGTAGTTCTAACTTGTTTTACAGAAAATGGTAACTGACACATTTTTCCAGAAATACAAGCTGAACAAAGAGATTGAGAAGAATCATTATTCACTAATATTCCTGCATGCTTCAACATTGTAGACAACACTTCCTCAGATGGATGTCCCAGCCTTCTATGCCACACTGAAATCCTTACTTTCTTCCCAAGAAATGCAGCACAATTCTCTAATTTTGCAGCAAAGGAACTTCTGAAAACTGAGACTGGTATCTTGAATAATTCTCCATCATCACTCTTTCCTTGGTACAGAATCACCTGAGTTGCCTTGTCCTGTATAAAAAATACCAAATCATCACAAATAAACCAGCATCCATTATCTCTACATAGCTTCTTAACTGATAACAGATTCATTGTAATTAGTGGGACATGCAACACATTATTCAACAAAAATGTATGTGTATCAGTAATGAGTTTAGATGCACCAATATTCTTGACACTCAAACCTGCTCCATTGCCTATAGTGATTTTAGCTTCACCATTATAAGGAGTGACATGATTGATGTGATCAAGATTGGCTGTCATGTGATGAGTTGCACCTGTGTCCACCACCCATGTATCTGCATTTGAAAACCCATGGACACTTTGAGCCTCTTGCATTGTAGTTGAAGTCTGAGCAGACATTCCCATAGGTGATTGAGTCAAGGTTTGAGGTGGAGGAGGTCCTTGATACGAGTAGTTGTTCCTGTGATAGCATTGGAGTGCAGTGTGACCTTTCTTGCCACAGATTTGACAAAAGATTGGCCCTCTAGGATTAGCTTGACCATTATCAGTCCTGTAGTAACAATTTGGTGCAGTATGCCCTCTTCTAGAACATATTTGACACTCTGGAGACACAGCAGACTTGTAGTTTGTGTTACCAGTCCATCCACTTCCTTGCTTGAAACCATTTTCACCAGAAAAGTTGTTTGAACCACTATAGTAATTCTGAGATCCCTTGTTGTTATCAGTCAAACCATTAGAGCCATAAGATTTGTTACCAAAGTTGGAATAAGATCTTGAATTGCTGCTGTTGTTATTTCCATTAAACCTTCTGTTATTATTAAAACCAGATCTCTGTTGAAAAGATCTACCTCCATTCCCAGCAAAACCAGAACCACCATTAAAACCTCCTTGATATCTTTGTGAATTAGAACTTTCTCCTTGCTCGAAATTCTGAAAACTACCTTGAGGTCCTCTTGCATTTGACGATTCACCATTCATATACATTGCTGACATTGTTCCAGCAAGAGTATTCATCTTTGTTTCAAGTGCAGCTTCAACACCCATCAACTGAGCTCGAAAATCTTTTAGAGAAATGAAAGTATCTCTTGCAAGAATTACAGTCTTGATAACTTCAAACTCTGATGGTAGACCTGACAAAACAGCAATCATTAAATCATTCTCAGTAATTCTCTCCCCTGCAGAAATTAGTTGATCTTTGATCACCTTCAGCCTTAACAGAAACTTGTCAACAGAATCATTCCCTTTCTGTGCAGTATGAAATTCAGTTTTCAACTGATTTATTCGCACAACAGAAACAGAAGCAAATCTTTCCTGCAAATTTTCCCATGCTTCTTGAGCAGTCTTGCATCCGATTACATGATCCATAACCTCATCACTTAATGTAGCAACAAGTAAACTGAGCAAAGCCAAATCTTTTTGAACCCACTGTTTGTAGGCCATTGAGATCTCATTTGTAACCCCACCTTCAGATGTAATACAATATTTTGGCGGACACTGTGACTCTCCATTGAAGAAATCAAACAAATCATAACCCTTTAAAACAGATGAGAATTGATAGCTCCATTTGACAAAATTATCTTCTTGCAACTTTACAGTAATCAGTCCAAGTAACCCTTCAATCTTGACAAAATTTGCAGCCATTGTAACGCACGGAGTAATAGACAAAAAACTACTTCTGAAACTTGATTATCAAAGAACAAAATAGTATACTAATGGCTTTGGCCTTTCTATGAAGTGACACAATTACAATCTTTCAACTTTTCAATGTATCAACCTTCCAATCTTTATCAAACAATCAGACTTCGAACATCAAACTTTCTTAAGCAAACAACTATCAGATTCAAACAATTGGCATCGGCCTTCATATCACTTGTACATTTCACTGAGGCAATATATCAAACACATCATATGCAACAAATTTCAAGCACCAATATGAATCAAAGATCGAGAATACCAGCAACCCAGAAATGAAAATGAATTCATCAGCAAGAACCCCGAAATCTTAGTTGTAACAACGTCCTCAGAGTATGCAGCTTCAGCGGAAAACACCAAACAGATCGTCCTGAGCGATTGATACCATGTTAACAGAACTAAGGAATGGTTCTATGAAGAACAACAAACTGAAGAATGAATGCGAAAAGAGAGAGAGAAAGAATGAAAAATATTATGTGTATTGATCTTTAGAGAGAGAATGAATTATTACAAACTGTGTTGTATTTCAGACTTTATACACGGGATCTCATCTTAGCTAGGAAGCTATCTCACTAACTAACTAACTGACTTTCTATTTGAGCTGGCAGCTATCTAACCATTGAAAAACTGACTTGATCTATCATGCTATTCTAGCCGTTGGATCTCTTATCATTCGAGTTTCTCCAGACATACTTAGAGTGATCCTTGGGATTTTAGGATTGATCATGTTGCGGGTTCAGTTACTCATCCACCATACTTTGATGGTGAGAACTATGGGGCATGGAAAGCCGAGATGAAGTCATTCTTGTGGGCTATAAATCAGAGTGTGTGGCACAATTGTGTCAATGGTGGATCTGAACGAACTAAATTGAAAAAAATGAGAAAACTAAAACTGAAAAAAATAAATAAAATAAAATTGTTCCTAAACCAATGAGGAACGGTCAAAAGATGAAGTACTTCATATGTAGCACGAACAATCAAAGAGGCTTGAACACATTGTTGCCAACCATTCACTTGAACAGTTTGAATACATCTCCACTTGTGAAACTTCAAAAGATGCTTAGGACATTTTACAAAGATACTCTTGAGGGGAAACGCTGATGTGAGAGCTTCGGAGCTCCAACTGTTTACAAACCAGTTTGAAAATATTAAGAGGGAGGAGGAGTATGAATTATTTTCGGATTATTATGCTAGACTCAGTTTTATTGTTAACACTTGGCACAATATAGGCGAAACCATTTCTAAGAATATTGTTGTCAAGAAAATCCTTAGGTCTTTGGCTACTAGGTTTGACACAAAAGTGACCACAATTGAAGGGCATAGGAATTTAAACACCTATAAACATAAAGAGTTACTTGGGTCTTTAAAAGCTTAGGAATTGAAACATCCTCCAGTCAAAAAAATCCAAAAGTGTTGCCTTTAAAGCAGTTCAGGAACATGAAGGGGATAGTGGTGCTGGTGATGAAGAGCTTGGCTCTTCTCACTAAAAATTTCAAAATTGTCTGAAGAAGTCAAAGTTTAAAAAGTCATTATAAAAAAGGTAGTTCATGATCTAAAAATTCAGGTCTAAAGAATTCACTTACAAGATAAAATTTTAACTAGGAGATAATGTCATGAGTGTCAGGGTTATGGTCATTGTGCACATAAGTGTACGAACACTCTCAAGAAGCAAAAAAAAAGAAAGAATTTAAACTGCAATGAAAGTCATTTCGAGTGATAGTGAGTCCTAAGTGATGAAGATGAATTTGTTGCTTTTGTTGCTCAGGTTGAGTTGGTTAACCTAAGGACCTTTTCTTTTGACTCTTGAAGATTGTATAAATTTACTGTTCTCATTGCTTCTTCTATGCCCAAAATGATATATTGATTTGGAGGAAAAAGGAGAATCATTTTGTTTTGCATGCTAGATCTTCAATTTCATTGAATGACTCTAATGGAAATCATATTATTGCTCTTGAAGGTGTACCTATTCAGAAACATTTGTGTTTGGGTTAATGTTTGAACATTGGGCCGCAAGTGTGTGCAAGCCCAGAGATGCCAATTCAAAAGGAGACTTGCCTGAAGCCCAAGCATCAAGCTCAAAGACAAATTGGCGCCTTCCCATTAATGCAGAGGCCATGTGCCTATAATTTAAATGTCAAGTGATGGGGACTAACTCATAATCAGCCAAAAAGCACTTTTCAGTGGCAATACAAGTAAAAGCCGATGGCTCACTACCCTCCATGTGCTTTCGGGCAAGAGCAAAGTCACTGCAATCGGGCTATTTCACCTATAAAAGGAAGAAGAGGTTCCAAAGATAAGGACACTCAACCAATCAAACAAACAAAAATACAAACTTTGCTCTCAAGCCAGATTTGCATCTAAAAGCTGTAATAAGCCCAGATCTCAATCCTTTTCAGGATATCTCCCTCACAAAAGCTATCTTTTGTCTTGATTAGAAGCTCTTCTATCACCCCTAGTGCCATAATATCGATTCCCTTGTGTAAACTGGTTTACCATCCATCCCTTTCTAGCATAGAAACCTCTGTAAACTCAAAGAGAAGTGACTACAAGAGGTTCAACCTTACCAGACAAGGTGAAATCTTGCCCAATGCTCTTTGTTTGCTTTCTGAATTTGTAGATCTATTACTTAATGCATTCTTCAATATGTATTCTGTTGATGCACAAAATTAGTTGGGACTTTGGTAGAACAGAAAGATATAAGTTTATGACCTTCGTTAGATTGCTCCGGTCACTAGTGTGGATAAGCATGCAAATGGATAAAGACAGGGAAGCAAATACAAGATGTACGTGGTTTACCCAGATTGGTTACGTCCACAGAGTAGAGGAGTTCTCATTAATTGTGAAGGGTTTGCACAAGTACATAGGTTCAAGCTCTCATTTAGTGAGTACTAGTGAATGATTTAGTACAAATGACATTAGGAAATATTCTGAGAGAATGATCTCTATTTATAAAAGAGAGTTTCTAGTTTCATTCTGACATTGACACGTGTCGTGTTGTGATTGGCTTCTGACGCTATGATTGGCTTCTGATGTCGACATGTGTCATGCTGTGATTGGCCTCCTGGTTTGAGGGAAACTCTTCTGGGTCCTTGACGGTATAACGTTGACCGGTACTCAATAGTTTCATGATTGGTCAAGTATGGTACAAACAGTGCTCCCTTAAGTTCCCGAGTGAGAGAAGCTCCTCGGTTGGGGACTTGTAAGATCCAAGCCATTGAGTAATCATGAAACTTCTAAGTACCGAAATGTGGTATCATTTTCACTTGCCTTATCTGTCTCATATGTAGATATGGCATCTTCTCTAGAAGTACTTTTCCTCCATCCAGGGGTGGTATCTTTAACCGATGAAGATGCACAAGGTAATGTATCAATTTCACTTGAAGCTTACTTGTAGTTTCGGCTTGGTCAAGTGCGATACAAACCTTATAGTAGGAGTCCCCCAAGTTGTCGAGCTAGGAGATTTGTCGAAGGAGGTAACAGACAAGGTAAGCAATCAGACTTCCAAGCAAGCAACCTGGATCGGAGGTTCGACTTCGGCTTCCGATTGATTGTTTTCTTCTCCTTATGTCGTAAACAACAACAAGGATAAAGATAAGCAAATGGAGAAGAGATGATATGAGATACTTTTGCTTTTGAAGAAGTAACTTTCCACAGGCTTATTCTTAAACTAGGTTGGAGGGTTTTCTGGTTTCCTTCAGAGTATAGGGTCGACTCAAGAATTTGAGGATCAAAACAAGTCTATCAAATCTAGAGTACGTTCGACCCTGATGATATGGGATATTTTTGTTGTTGACAAAGTAGTGGATATATCGGCACGTGTTCTGTTACGCTTGTCTCCACATGCTTCCTTGTATCATTCTCACTTGCCTTATATGTTCCTCAAGCAGATATGGTATCTTCTCTAGAAGCATAAGATGTTGAAGGTGAGTACTCGAGAGCAATGTCAGGTAAGTAATCAGGCAAGTGGTTCCAGGCAATCAATTCCTGATTGGAAGCTTGATTCCAAGTGCTGATTGATTGCTCTCTTTCTCCTTGTCTTGCAGGTAAGAACAAGGAAAAAGGAAAAGACAGGGAAAAAGCATGATATGGGATACTCTTGCTTTTAACCTTGATGATATGAGATACTCTTGCTCTGGTGTGGCTTGTTTGCAGAGGTATTATCGGGAGGAAAAAAAGCTGAGTATTTTGAGAGACTCAGCTGAAAGTGCCCTTTCGGATGTGAAGAAAAGTTGAGCATTTTTTTCATTTGCAGGTCTGCCTGGCTGTGGATGATGGAGGTCGACATATATAGGAGTCTCTCTAACAATAAGTAGTAGTGATATTCCTTTACCCTTCTTGGTCATAGCAATGTAGTGGGAGCTGCAAGCTTCATGTGTTTTAACTTTGTCAGAGCACTTTGAAAAAGTGGTCTGTGGTATCTAGAAAGCTGATGTTGCGTGTGAAGATTGCAGACAAGCTTTATCGAAGGAAATCTGGCTCTCGAAGTTCGAAGAGCAGTGCCTCTTCGATTTTCGAACAAGTAATCTTGTTGGGGATCTGGCTTTCGAGATTCAGAGAACGGTGCCTCTTTGATTTTTGAGAAAGCAATCCTGTTGGGAGTTTGACTCTTGAGATTCGGAGAGCAGTGTCTTCGATTTTTGAGAAAGTAATCCTGTTGGGAGTCTGGCTCTCGAGATTCGGATAGCAGTGCCTCTTCGATTTTTGAGCACGTAATCCTATTGGGAGTCTGGCACTCGAGATTCGGAGAGCAGTGCCTCTTCGATTTTTGAGAAAGCAATGATGTTGGGAGTCTAACTCTTGAGATTTGGAGAGCAATGTTTCTTCGATTTTTGAGAAAGTAATCTTGTTGGGAGTCTGGCTCTCGAGATTCGGAGGGCGGTGCCTCTTCGATTTTTGAGCACGTAATCCTGTTGGGAGTCTGGTGATGCGAAAATTAACTTAACACACAAATTAAACCCTCTTGTTGTCAAATTGTAGTATAAATGCAAGTAGGGATCGTTATAAACCGGGGATTAGGAGGGCTTGCTAAAACCTCTAAACTGACTTAAAAACATATAAACAAAGTTAAAAACACTAAACTAGACTCAAAGAACTTAAAACAAACTCAAAGGACTCAAAACAAGCTAAAAACGCTCAAATTTGCCTAAAAACACAAACTGGGCAGATTTGGACTCTAACACACTTTTGGGACACCTAAAAACACCAATCAAAACATATTTTGACTAATCAAACACTTTAAAGTAAAGGGGGTTTTGGTTTTGACGAATTTGAAAACAAAACAAGTAAATTAAAGAACTAATGAAATCTGCACGAATTTGAGTAAATTGAATGGATGGAAGGCTAGCTAGGAAGTTCTTCTCCACACATGACATACTTGCACATAAACCAATTTTCAGTTGTTCTTTCGATCAATCATGAAACTCAACACCCCAGGTTAATTAAGTCCGCTTAAATTAACCTTCAAGTTCTCCTTAAGTTATTGAATTGGATGGGAAAGCGCATACAACAATTCAAGCATTCTTCAAAAGTTCTTTACGTGAACAGCACAATAAAGATACAATCAAAGATCATTAAGCATTATGAAAACTATAAGTATTGACGAGGCATTCGTTACTATGATGAGCATGAAACTCCTGTCAAGAATTTATTTAACACGATCGTTTATAAGCGACCTTCATTACTTGTGAATATAAGTTTGTAACTATTAGGTGAAACTCCCTTATACTCTAGCATCATATTCATGCATGCAAACTAAGTGTGCACTCTTAATAAACATACACGAATAAGTTATCAATCAAGCAGTTAAACAAACTGAATTCACAACTTA